TAACTTCAAAATGAAACCATTACAACTACAATGTGAATGTCAGGAGAGAGAGAAAAAATGATGTCTGTGTTCTAGGATTACTGATCTGCACACTGCAGTCTGTTGTGAAACAAGATTGCAAAGTACACTGGACTAGCAACAACATGCAGACTGTTTTTCTGAATTTACCCTCTAATGGCAGGAAACCATTCTGAAGTAAAAATGCTTGTTATTTAAAAGAAAAAAGTAATTAATGTCCTAAGTTATCATCAGGCCTCAACCCTGGAAACTTAAAGGAGGAAGAGGAGAATTTTGTAGCTCTTCAAAAACTACGGAGCTGAAGCACTATTAACACAAAATCTGCAATTTTAAAAAAGAAACGGTGCACTTTTCTGTTGTTTTGTCTGCCTTCAATCATATTAATGTTGAAAAAGTCACTATTGAACGTGATATTTCAGAGTTTGCACTAGAGGAAGGAGTGAAAACTGGATCACACCTTCCTCTTCACCAGGGAAAATGCCAGGCCTCTTCATGGAGATTTACTGCCATCTCCTAAACCAGTACTTTCTTCCAACATGCCACAATATTGCTCCTGCTTTGTGCAGACTTCTGGAGATCCCTCTTCATACAAGTTCTACAGGCATTTTCGGTAGGAAGAAGAAGTCTGTAGGAGAGTACTGCTTGCCAAGCAAATGGAATACTGAGCTAAATCCTGCAGAGTTTGCTCAAGCAAAATTCTCACTACGTTTTTCCTGGCCCATTATACTTAAGTGTCACATTGTCCAATACTTAGAAGGACCCAATCCTCCAATGGTTACTTAGGCAAAAGCTTCCCCCTGAAGTGAAAAAGTCAATGGGATTTTAGACTGAGTAAGGACTGGAAAATTGGCCCCTATGTCTTTTCTTTAGTAAACAGAGGAAACATACAACCTTTAATTTACAAGCTGAAAAGCCACTTTTGCAATTCTAATGAAGTTCCTTTATATGACAGAATTAAATTCATTAGTTGTTAGATTGCTCCATAGCCAAGGCGAACTGGTACAACAGTCCTATTGTACCTACTACACTTCCTAAAGATAGAGAACGCTTTAAAATCAGCAATGTCTCCTTAAATACCCTAACATGAGGTAAGCAGTGTAAGGAAAAAGGAATGCATTTAAAAACATAAAAATTAAAGTTGGTACAAATCTTTGGCCTTTCTCTTAAGATTCACTAAAGTGTCCTAAAATCCAGAAACATGTTTTCAACTGTCATGTCATTCAAACTCTGGTAATTATTACTTCCTTCCCCCAACCCAGAAAGAGAGGCACTTTTCGTATTTCATACAAGAGTTCCAGTCCTCTGTCAGACACACCATTTAACCCCGTAAAGAAGCATTCCCCAAATAGAATTATCAAGACCACAAAGAATAAAAAAAAAAAAAAAAAGTTTTCATGAGGACTTAAATACTTTGTAAACAATACTAGAAAGTCAAAGGGTTGGGACTTTTTACATCAATTTTAAATCACAGGAGCCAAAGCAAAAATAGAAAATGATATCTCCAGGAAGACCTGGAACTCCTTATACAGAAATGGGAAACAAGAAATTGCTAAGTTGATGATAAAAAAAAGATTGCAAACATGACAGCAACCTGTGCCTCAACCCATCAACAAACTTGACCCTAGTTTTCCCTAACTAAAGTTCCTTCCCAAGAATTCACTCTGCTGGAAAAAATGTTGACTTACAAACATATGCAAAGATTTATACACGTTTAACTTCACATACTGGGAGCAGCCCCATTGACTTCAGTGGGACATTTAGCATGTAAAGTTAAACATGTGCTTAAGTCTTCACAGAATTGTGGCCTTAATAATATTAGGCATGTACCCCTTAAAGGGAGGAGTGTGGAAAATCTACTTGGTTCTACTATATACGAGTCTCAGCACTAGAAAAGAATCTAATGACCATGGTACGTCTTCTTGCCTCGCATCAAACATGGAAATAAGCATCATGCACGCACATGGCTAACACTGTATAATACATGAGACAAGAGGAAGTTTGTGCAGAACAGGAGCAGCACTGTGGCATGTTGATAAAGAACAGCAGCAAAAAATATACTGGCCAGATCCTCATAGCTCCACTGCAGCAGAGCATCGCTGATTCACACCAGCTTAATGTCTGGCTCATGTATCCAGAGATACCCAGGCCTATGAAACTGATATTCCTGCAGTGTGTACAAACATCTGAAAACCCACAGTCCTGTGGTAACGAAGCTCTGTATTTTCTAATTATGGATACTTGACATTATGCTTAAGCAACTAGAATTACTCAAAACTAAAACAGCTGAAGATTGAGAAAAAGAAAAGTGGCAATACCATCAAACATGGCTGTGGTTTTGCAGTTATGTCACAGAATTCCACAACATTTTTTTTTTAATTTGCTGAAACAACCATCCAATAACTTGTATGAAAATGAATAAACTGTCCATATTAAAATACAAAAGTACTATCAAGAATCACCTCTGACTTTCAATTTAAATTCAGTGCAATCGACAAATGCATTGCTAAAGGAAAAATGCAGCTTAAATATACTCAAAACATTTGTGTCTATTCCTGGGAGCACAGTTTAAAATTATTGCACAGATTTTTTTTTATTTTTTCTTAATAATGACAGAGGTCAGCCACAATCATGGACCTCCAGCAATAAAAGCAATATTTCAAGTGCCAGACACTCAACATATTAGGTTTCCTACATATTGTAACTCACAGGGTAGTTGTTCTAAACAGTAATATGTTCCAAAACCCTAAAAATAGCTGGCACAGAACCATCATGGATGACTGCCTTTATGGATATGAATGTTTGGTTGTTTTTAAATTCAGTGTATTATAGTAGTATCAGCCCCACTGATAATAACTGGGGTACATATTATGAATGTATGTATTCTCTTTACCACCGGCAAACTGCCATCCTACCTTAGCCAAACTCAGACTTGCTTCAAGTCATGTTAGTCTGTGGCAATAGCAGAAATCAATGCCTAAAGAACAATTCTGTTAAAATGTAAAAGCTGCATTATTTGGGTTAAATCAATTTATACTTAACTACAGAAAGTTAAAGTTAAGCGATCGTAAGCCACAAAATTAATTTGTGATTGAAATAGTGTTATAAAACTGATAACTTTGCAAAGCTTTATAATATAAACCATTTCTTAAGTAAAATGTTTGTGACATAGATTTGACAACCTCTTTTTATAGAGATTTATACGCCTGGAATCTTATGCGAGACAAAACCCTTTCAACTCCATATAGGCATAAACACGACCCTCATGCTAGAATTTACAAATAAAATCACTATCAATATACTTTTAATCACATGAGCAGAAAAAGGTTTGCCGCTTATATATGTCGCTGTAAGAAAAATATTTGATATTGTAAACAGAGTAAAAGACACAATATAGTAGTGATTATTAAAAAAATAGCAGCTTACATCTACCTTATATTTGGAAAAAAATGTAGTCACAAGATACAACAAACTGCAGGACTGGAGCAGCAGGGGAATTAGTGCAAGTATTCATCTTTTAAATAAGCTGAATCACTGCTATTAAAATAAACTTGAAGCAAGTCTGAGTTTGGCTAAGGTAGGATGGCAGTTTGCCGGTGGTAAAGAGAATACATACATTCATAATATGT